GGCAAGGACACGGCCGGGGCAGCTGCGCAGTCTTCGCCGGCTCAGGTCCGCGGACGCTTGGACCCAGTCGGAAATGGGCCGGAGCTGAGTGGCCACCATGCGGGACGAGTGTGGGTGAGCACCCTCGTCTAGTGACGGCCGTAGCGCAGAACATCGCAGTCCCCGCGCACCCAGCCGCTGCGCCTCGGCCTCTGTGCTGAGCTGTGTTTAATGTCCGTTTTATTAGCCCACATTTGCAATGCGTGACGATTGCAGTCTTCTGGGGTTAGGGTCCGAGTCCTGAGCACAGCTTCGTCCTTAGCACACCCTTTCCCTCTCCTCCGTCCGCTTCTGCATCCCCTGCTCCCCTTCTCACTTGCAAAAGATACCTTTGTTATCCTTTTTGGGTTTCTCCCGTAACAGAAAGCGAGCAGCATTCAAACTCGTCTGACTCATCTCACAGCATTAGGGTGCACAGGTGCTCACGCGCCTCGCGTTCATCCTCCTTTATGGCGCTGTGTAAACGCATCGGTGCCTCGGTTCACGGACTCACTTCTTTCCTTGAGTCTGGTCCCAGAACCCGTTCCAGACCCTGGTTATAGCCGAATGCAGCTGTAAACGTATGACGTGTGTGCGGGGAACACTTCCTGGCCGGGTGATCTGTGGGCTGCTGAGCGGCCGGGCTGGACCCAGGTTCTCTTCGGCCCTGCAAGCCTGTCTCGCTGCCCTCCAGCTCTGCCCCCAACCCCTCTGTCCCCACCAACTTCAGCTCCACACTTCACTTGCCTGCCATCTGCAATCCCCGCTGTTCTGAAAAAGGCTATTTTCTGACTCACTTGTGTTCCCCACACTCCGGAAGAGCTTCCTTATCTGCCAGATGGAATCTGCTCTGAAGACTAAAATCCTTTTGTATCGATACAAAACTGAGCACTCACCTTTGACCACTAGCTTATCACTTATTTTCAAATATTACATTTAGCCCATTTGCTTCTAGAAAAATGCCCGAGTTTATCGTTTCACTCATCTCAGAGATTACCCACTTTAAGCGGAGGGAGACCCGTTCGCCTCTTCATTTTAAGTGTGCCAGTGCAGTTTTGCGTTGCTTAGTGACAGAGACACAGTGTGGGAGGTGTGTAGGCGGATGGCTGGTCGTGAGCACATGCCCGCTTGCACAGCTGATGTCCTTCAGTGGCCGTGACGTCACCACATGCCATGATCTCCCAGGGACAGTGACTTGGACAAAAACATTGTGCAGTGCATGACTGGATAGGGGGTGTATTTTCCAATGGCAGTTATGCAGTTTTCTTTGCGTGCTTATCGTTATGCTAATGTAGGAATGGGCAGCTTTAGGGTATAAAGTTCCACTGTAGCCTTTTTCCTAGTTGATCTGGGCTTTTTCATAGAAGTAGCTTCCTCTTAACCAAGGTCTTCTTCCTTGTGTTCTCTGGTCGTTGCTGTGCCCCTTGCTTGCTACATGTGCTTCAGCCACGAAGTTGTGAGAGGGAGCAGCGGAAGGGGACTCCTAGGAAGAGCTGGCGTTCACAAGTCGCTACCTCTGTGATTCTCAAAAGACAGGGTGAACTACGCCCTACTGCAAAATTTGATGGAATGTGAGACTTCCAAGGAGCATGTAAGCAAAGGACTAGGTGAAGAGCAGAAAACCAATGGGACCCCAGCATCAAGAACCAGGGGCATCTGCCAGTGACTCTTAGAGTTGTCATTCGGGAACCATGGAGGCTTCTAAGAGCATAAGGCTGAAAATCCAGATGACAGGAGGGTCAGGGACACAGGAGAGGAGGAGAGGAGTTCAGGACTTCTGTGCTTAGAATGATCTCCAGAGCAGCAGACCTTGGGTCCCACCCAGACCACTGAATTCACTCTAACAGGTACCTCAAGTGACCTACAAGCTCTAAAGTTTGAGAAGCTTGGGTTAAAATTATACTTTCACGATGGAGGACACAGGAGGGAGATCAGGCAGGAGGGAGAGAGCCAGAGCAAGGGTCCGGACGGTCCTGAGAGTGACAGGCATTTGAAGGCTTTCAGGCTAAGGAAAAGGAGCCCTGGGAAGAGGTGAGGCCAAGAGGAGACCAGACCCTGGGTGGGACAGTCCCTGAGAGACGAGACCAGGAACGGAGGCGCAGGGAGGCTGCTCTGAGTGAGAGGAGAAGCAGCGTGGAGTGACAGGGAAGGGCCGGAAACTCGGTGAGCGCAGTTCACATCAGCGGTGCTCAAAGCAGTTTAGGTAACCAGGTAAGGAAACGGGGACCAAGCATCCAGAGCTGTCTCTGTACCATGTTCTGCCGTCATGAAATTGGAAATCATACATGTAGGCGCTCACCTGCTTTCTTCCCTAGTGAGTTCGTGTGTGTGAAAATAAGGAAATAAGTAGCACCCTCACCTTTAAGAGCTTCACTCTGTCACACGTAGGTGACTTCCCACACTTACTGTGTGGCTCAGCCCAGGCCTGCGTCTGCAGATGTGAACTCCAGGGACCACCGCCTCCTCTCTGAAGTCTTCCATTCCCCTGTGCTCAGATCCAGGTTGGCCTTGGAGTCGTGGTGGCCTTGGCTCCAGATGGCCACATAAAGAGAATAGCACAATAAATGAGTCACACTGATGACCTTGGTTTCTGAGTGTGTATAAAACACTATATGCATTCATTAAGTGTGAAATCGCAGGTCTAAGCAGAGTTTACTCACTTGCATTGAGAACATTTTATTGCTAACAAGCGCTGGCCACCATCTGCGTGCAGGGAGACCTCACCTTTGCGCTGGTGGAGAATCTCTCCTCTGCCTTGGTGGCCGCTGGCTGACAGGGCAGTGTGCGCTAAAGGATCACGAAACCACAGAAGTTCCTTAAAACAGCAGTGAGGCTTGCTGGGTCGAGTGGCCCATCGACTTCTTCCCAGAGAGACTTCTCTGTAGCATGCAGCACCTCAGGTAGCATTTTACACACAGAACTTCATCCAGAATCTGAGTCGATCCTCTCAAAGCCCACGTCGGCTTTCCCGATTAAGACTGTGTGGTCTTGTAAGTCCCTCTCTCCTTTCAGCAGTTCTCACAGCATCTTCTGGGAGCAGAGGCTGTCTCAGGAGCCACTTTCATCCCGTCCCGAGGACCCCATGGCTCCTCGTGCTGGACCACGGCCCTCAGCAGCACTCCGGGCAGCAGAAGCCACAGCGTGCCTCGGCGTTTGGCAGGAGAGGCCTTGATGCCTTCCACACTAGTCTCCATCATTGCTGGCTTTTGGTTGAAAGCAAAAGGTGAATGACACTTGCTTTCACTCAGGCCCATCAGGGGTTACCAGTGGGCCTAATTTCAGTGCTGATCCATCTCATGGAGTACAGGGGAGATGAGCACAGAGAGCAGCCTCTCAGTGGTGCGGTTGGAATGCTCACCATTCACCAATTTCAGTGTCACCCAGCAGTGACAGAGGAACACCAGAGGCCACGGGTCATAGAGCACCATCCTTCCAGACACCCTCGTAATGAATGCATTGGAAATATTGTGACAGTCGCCAGAGGAACAGCAATGGGCGGTGAGCAGTGCCTCAGGACGAGGTTGGCACGAACACTGCCTGCAAAGCCCACTGAAGTGCAGTGCGGAGGGTTTTGCCGGTGCTCAGCCCTCTCCCACGCAGACACTGCTGGACGACATCACAGCGTCTCTGTGTGACTTGGGTTCTAGTCAGTTCTTGATGCCCTCATTCTCTCGCTGAAGGATGAGCTCTCTGTGTCCAGGACCACATTTAACTAGTCCTCGTGTCCCTGAAACCTACTGTCGTGCTTAGGACGTTCTTGTGTCAAGTGATTTGCATTGTCCCTTTCCGTTCCAGACTATAAACTTGTCATTGTTGCTGTGTGTGCTGTGCTTTCTTTGTGTTTTCAGGTTCTTGGACAATATTGAGGTGACAAATAGTTTGTTGTTTGGTTGTTTGGTT